AAGAGCCGCGTAAGCGCCTCGTTGTTACCAACACGGCCCCCCATGGGATCATGACGATAGGCGTTTAAACAGACCCTGTGAGTTCATTCCCCCTGTGATCGTGACGATAGGTGTATAAACAGGTGTTTGCAATGATAGGGTTAAGGTTAGGCGCATCACCATTTTAGTCTATATTTGAGTTTATTTTTAAGGTCAGGGTTCAGACTCAGTTCACAGCCCCTGTGAGTTATTAAGAGCTGCGTTAGCGGCTCGTTGTCCCCAACAATAATAATAAGATTCTTGGTTTTGATTTGAAATGGATTGCTGAAACTATATTAAGAATAATAATAATATAATAATAGTAATAGTAATAATAATAGTAATGATTTTTATAATTATTCTTATAATGTAGTTTTGTGAAAGAGGATTATGTATGTATTACAAGCCTCTTTTAAGGCAAAACATCTTTTCCTACAGCCTTGAGAATGTTGAAGGTTGTTTGCAAGGACATTGTACATTTGGGTATGCTCTCATTGTACTTGATAAAGGACTCTTAATTTCAAAATATAACACATTTCAAATGAAGACATTTAAAATGTTATTAGGCTAATTATTAATAATAATAATAATAATAATAATATTAATAATAATAATAATAATAATAAGTCCTTATGGGGATGATCCTTTGTGTTATTGTCTATAATTATAATAATATTCTTTTTAGTAATTGCATTAAAATCATTTAAAAAAAAAAATGTAAATGCCTAATTTATTTAATAATAATAATAATAATAATTACCAACTTTTCAATAATGATCATTTCACTTCATTGCTTAAGTGTAATTTATAATATTGCATATCACTATTTTTCTTATTTAAAATAGTGTACAAGTCTACTTTGTGGCAAAACACCTCTTCTTATTCAGCTATGTTAAAGTAAAAATAACACAAAGTAATATCCCCTTAAGTGCTGACATAATGAAATAATAAAATATTATTATTATTATTTATTATTATTATTATTATTATTATTATGAAAATAATAATAATTATTATTATTATTATAAATAACATTAAGGATTATCCCCTTAAGTGCCGACCTAATGAAATAATAATAATAATAATAATAATAATAATAATA